GGAAGAGGGAAGGAGAACATTGGCATCTCCTGACCGCTTTAGGCGCAAAAGGCTGGGAGTTGTGGGTAGTGGGGCTAAACTCTGACTTTTCTCCTCTCTTGCTTTGCTTGTTCCATTTCTATCATTTCCACCAGGTAGTCCTTTTGTCGCGGAAGCCTCCTGCTTTGCTATCTTTACAGAGCTTGTCTGGTCAAGTATAGGAAGCATTTTAGATGCAGTTTACAGATGCAGGTAGGCAGTGCACGGCCGCTGCTGAGGAGGGATGTGCTCTGTCTGATGGCCGTAGTTAACTGCAGTAGATTTTTGAGCAAGTGACCTCCTCTGCCTGTGTGGTTTCAGTCCGCTTTTTAATCAGGATAACAGAGTTTACTGAATCAATTTGATTTTTTAGATATAAAATACATTCCCATGATACATTTGAAACTGCCTCTCTGTTTTATTTTGTTCTGTAATTCTCCTGAAGTGTTAATGTAAAAGTATATAAACATAGAGATACTAGAAAGATGAGTTTGGAATTATCTGGGAATAAAAGTTTTGCCTAGGCTGTTTTCTCAAAAGGTATCTTGATGCCTTGAAATCTTCCTAGTATTTCAGTGATGCTGTAGCACCTCTCCATTGATGGTAGTGCCAGTGCCACCGTCTGAATCACACTCTCCCCTCCTCGGCTCCTGAGCTGTTGCTTGTTGGCCCTGATGCAGCACAAAAATGTGTTCAACTCAAATTAGATATCAGATAGTCCCTGTACGTTTTGGATGTAGGGCCTAAGATCCTGGTAAATTTACAATATTCTTCTTAATGCATCAAGCTGTGTTTGGTTTTTTTTTTTGTTTGTTTGTTTTTTTGCTTTAAATCATTTTGCATCTAGCATGACTTACTGCGAGTTAGCACTGCATCACTCTCTCACCCTGGCCCTGTATACATTTCCCCTAGGACCACAGTTATGGTATGATGTATCTGTCACTTCCAAGTTCCACTGAGCATAAAAAATAATATGACTACAGTAAGTTTTCTTCTACTTCTGCTTTAAGTGAATGCAGAATATTTTGTAGTAATAATCTTACAAACGCAGATCTAGCCCCAGGAATGGAAGAATGAAGATCTGTGATTATAAATTGAACGCTTACCAGAATTACTTTGTTACATTGCATATTCTGTTTTATTCATACTACTTTCATCTTCCTTCCTCCTGTGATTCATCATCCAAATTGTATAGGGATGAATTGAAAACTGGGCTATATAATGAGAAAGGTCATACAGAGATTTCATGTAAATAAATGAAAGAAATTAATAGTATTTCAGTAATTACTTCAAGAATTTTGACTTCGTGGCTTGTGTAACTAGTTGGAGGATTGTTAAAGATGCTGAACTTACTAAACTCTATTAAACTCTCAACTGTTTTGTGTTGTTAGGGTTGATTGCGTGGGAATACTGAAGCTGAGAAATGCTGATGTTGAAGCTAGGATAGGGATTGCTGGTTCCAAGAAAAAAAGCACACGTGCTAGGCTGGTATTTCGTGTTAACATCACTCGCAAAGATGGTTCAACTTTGACTCTTCAGACACCTTCTTCCCCAATTTTGTGCAGTAAGTATCAAAATAAAAAATTGGTATTGGAGGACTCTGGATTTTAGTGTGATTTCCATAAAATGCCTTGGGGAAAATAAGAACCCCAGTGCTAATCTGTGATTATTTCAGAATTGCTATGGCTAAGATCACATGGCTTGATTTTTATTTGGGTGGCATGTTAGTTAAATGACTGACCAGTATTTAAAAGTAGTTGTAACTTTTATTAAATTGATTTTTGCCTTTTAAAACGTCAGGATTTTTGTCATGATTGCTTTGAACTTACTGTATGACTTTTTTTTGATACAGGTTTCAATTCCTTCTGTATTGTCACGTTCATCTGTCAGTGATAGAAAGGACTTCTAATAATTTAGTGAGCATGGCTCTTTGCAGTTGGGCCAGAGGCTGAATCTGTTCTGGTTGAGTGCAAGAATTAAATTTTTTATAGCTATTTATTAAAATGCCCTGTTTAGCACAGATGGCTGCACTGACTGGTTAGGTTGTACTGAACAACAGGACAGATGAGATCAGAGGAGGCTGCAGTACATCAGGGGCTGCCTGTGCGTACGTAGTCTGTAGAGACTTCCAGTTACAGGGAATTCTGCCCACCTGTCAGAGAGAAGAGAGAGGGAAATGTGTTTGATACAGCTGTTGATGGGGTTATTGGTACTTCTTGACGAAGAAGATTATAGGAAAGCTTTTTTCTCCGTGCATGGAGCAGACTATTAGGAGGCAAGCTCCTGGGTGCTTGTGTTGTGCTCTTTCCATTGCACAAAAAGAAGTTTTTTGGTTTGCTTTTTTCTTTTTTTTCTAAACACTGTCAGTACCTGTTGTGTCAGGGCTCTATTCAGCTCTTCAGAAATCGCAGCTGTCTTGCCAGCGAAAGAACAGAATGGAAGAGGAGATAATTAAAAACACGTGAGCTTCCACATCAGTTACCACCATGTGATTGCAGTGCTGGAGGCAACAGGCGATTCGGCAGATGTGCCATGTAGCCCATCTCTCCTTCCAGTATTCTGCTCTCACTGAGAATCCCTGCACAAGGCTTGGGGAGAGCAGGGACCCTGTAGAAACCCTGAAAAGGCTGAGGACCAAAGACGTGTCGCTGCTGCTGCAGGGGAGGACTCTCCTGTCTTCAGCAATGTCCTGTGCTTTAGGCAGTAGTTTAACATTTGGGGTGCTCTTCTGGAAAGGTCAGCTTGGGGTGTTCCTATCCCTCTTTTTTCCTCCTCCTGCCACTTTTTGCTACATCTTTCTATTTCTAGTGGTTTTTAAACTGGTGGAGTTCTCAGATTCATGCATGTATGTTAAAATACGTAAGTACATTTGCTAGAAATACAGTTGTGTCTGTAGCTCCATTCCAGTCAGTACAGCATTGTAGTATCTGATACTGATTTTCAGATATAAGGATATAACTAAGCTATTTCTGTATATGTTTTGTTTGTATCATTAACTGACTGGTTAAAGATAACATTATTTAAATCATAGCAGAAATAGGAATGGGAATCATCTGGGTTTTCATAACAATCCAAAACTTGCTATTGTAAGTGGAAGCGGAGAGTCTGAGATGTTTGAGACCAATTTTAAAATAGGCTTTTTAGCTAAAAAAGCTGTATTTGGTGCACTTCCTGCTTAGCTTCTTGGTAAGGCCATTCCAGTGTTGGTTTATGAGGGTCCCTTGTAGTCCTCATTCTCAGTTTGTTGAATGCCTCCATTTATACCCTTAACATTAGTAGCTGTATCTTGAGATACAGGCAGTGAATAAATAGCAGAGAAGATAGGAGAGGGATGACATGCTAAGGGACATTAGAAGAAAAGGAAGAAGGAAGTAAAGGTTATCCTTCCATAAAAAAAATGTTCTAAAAGAATATAGTAGAAAGCAAATTGGTTTAGTTTTTAGTAAACTGGGTTTTGGTCAGTTGATAAGAAAATCTTCCTGACTGTGTAAGTAGCTAAGAGATTGTCCAGCAGTTTTACAGCATCTCCATTGCTGGAAGTCTAAAACAAAGAAACAAAATGCTCTGGTTAGAATCGTGTCTTTGAGGAATGATGTCGGTAAAACTGATCATGATGTAAAGGTTGAGAGGGGAAGCCCTGAGGCTCTTTCCAGGATTCTGTGCCTCTGCCGTCTTAACTTACTCCGAAGTTACGAGTAGGCAGTAGACCTTAGCCAACCAAATAGTGCTGGTACCTGCATACTGGCTGATCAATATGGCATAAAGTTTTGTTGTTTATTAAGTTATTTGTTTATATTAAAAAATTAAGTTATTTGTTTATATAAATCATCTCCTCAAGCACATTGCATCTGTTTTGTTTGCTACATATGTCTTATTACAGAGGTGTACAGTATCTTCTCATAATAAGGTTTACATTTTCACTTATCAGAGTCTGTTTATGTTGTGTTTTATAACTAATGTTGCTGCCAAAGTTGCAGTAACGTTCCTGAAACCATAGGAAAGACATTAAGTAGATACAGGCCCTTCATTTAAGGTCTGTGTTTTAAATAGGCTTTGTTAACTGGTTAGCAAACCTAAATCCAGTTACTCTTTTCAGAAGTTCATGTGCCTTGAGCATATTTAGTAGTTGCGTAATGGTTGCCTAGGAACCTGCTGCAACAGTTGTAGAAAAATCCTTTCTGAAAGGTCATTAAATAATTGGGAGTGTTACAGTATGTATGTGTAGTAAGCCCAGAGAATAATGTTACTAAACACTAGGAGTGGGCCACATAAACGTAAAGCGCAAGTACAGGCTTTTGCCACTAGCATTTTCTGGTGAATGAAAAAAATGGTTGGGAAACCTTTATTAGAAACTGGAACTATTTTATAACATATTAAATGTGACAAACTCGCAATACGTATTTTTACAATGTGTGTCTGTATTTAAATTATCTTTGCTCATTTTCATTTAACTCACATGGTCTTACCTGATTTATGCTTCAGGAAGCACTGAAATAGTTTGCAGCAAAGACAGTTTGTACTATGTGTTATATAAATCATCGTCTGAATCACTGGCTGAGAGGCAGAGGTTTCCAGGGATGTGTATCCGTCAGCCACGTTCTCTTTGCTGGTTTATAAGCTATAAATTGCTATAATCCCCAGCTACAGAGATGCGACTCTTGGAAGGATTTGTATTAGCTGAAGTATATAGGTCTGGAAAGTCATAGAATCAAAGAATGATTTGGGTTGGAAGGGACCTTACAGATCACCTTGTTCCAACCTTCCTGCCACGGGCAGGGACACCTTTCACCAGACCAGGCTGCTCAAAGCCCTGGGTTAGTTCTTGCACCAGCCAGACAGCTACATCGTAAAAAAGAAAAATCTGAAAAAACCCAGCTAATATGAGAATTACTCCTTCTACTCTTTTGCATAGCAGAATGAGAGAAGCTTCATTGAAAATGTTTTTATGAGCTTAAGGATAAATTTGAAGGTGTGCTTCAGCTGTATCTAAGGGCTGATGCATTTGTTTGTTCCTCTCTATGCCAAGAAATCACAGAATCAGATCTTCTTCTCTCCTGAACGCTTCTTGAGATTTAGCTCAAACACTGAAATTTTTGTTTTGAAGATGTAATGAATGCAGGAGAAAAGGGAAAGGATGATTAGTGGATCATTTACCTAAGTGTGATTTTGATGAGGTCATTACATTTAGTGAGGAAATAACAGAAACTGTTATTTTCTGAAAAGTTTTATTATGAATGATATAGTAAAGGAAGAAGTTCAGGAATTATTTTGTTCTTTCCTTTGTAATCCTGTAAGTAAAAGCTTTTTGTTTTGGATGTTGATGTTTTCTGGATTTCAAACTATGTGTTTTTTCAATTGCAGCTCAGCCAGCGGGAGTGCCGGAGATCCTAAAGAAAAGTCTACACAGTTGTTCAGTGAAGGGTGAAGAGGAAGTTTTTCTGATTGGCAAGAACTTTCTAAAGGGAACAAAAGTGATTTTCCAAGAAAATGTTTCTGGTTAGTGCAAAAGCAATAATGGCTTGGGGTGCAGAAGAGAGCATGATGTTTGGGTTTACACTGGTTGATAGAGTTTAGTTATAGAGAGCAAACTGAGAAGCAGTATCAAAGGCACTAACATAAATTGCTTTATATGGATGTGCAATAAATTATGCTTTTTAACTGTCATTTAGATGAGAATTCTTGGAAGGCAGAAGCTGAAATAGACATGGAATTATTTCATCAGGTACTTATGCATTATTATTATTATATTTTAATAAATAAAAAGACAACTTCAACTCTGTTTCCAAAGAAAAATCGAATAAGCCTTTCCCTCTTCCTGTACATGTCTAGAAATAATACTCCTTTTCTTCAAATAAGTTCTTTAGTGAGTCTGGTAGAATATAATTGTTTTGGGTTTCTACAAGTATAATTGTTCAGTTTCTAATTGAGAACTTGGACACCACAGTGGTATCTGAACTTGGTGAGTAAGTCTTTGCCCTTACGTACAATGTAATTAAAAAGCCTAATACAATTTTTTCCAGGAGCTTTCCTAAGGACACATGAGATTACTGCTGAGTGGAAATAGGTTGTGTGTATACCATAGTCTTTATACGTGGCTGAATTTCTTTTCCTCTCTGAAATCTTTTACAAAATATTTGTTTGTTCTTTTTGACACAACTGTGTGTCTTTATGGAATAGTGGGCTGTAATTAGAGAAATTATTAGATGTAAATGACATCTGACAAATGTCATCTTGCTCCCACCTCTGAAGGCTGTATTCCATGCATGCACTGGCAGAAATGATTTCTCACTTGTAGCGGGATAGACGGGTAGCTAGGGCATAGACAGGTCACTCACCGCTGTTACTGTGGATGAATCATTGCAGGCCTATTTTTTTTTTGATGTCTGCTCAGTGTTAAATCTGCTTAAGTGTAACATGAAACTGCATCCTTCAGCTGCTCACATGGAATACAAAGACCTGATTCAGCAGAACAGGGAAATGTCTGAGCCTGGCAGCATTTGATGGCAAACTGATTGCAGTTCAGCAAGGCATGTTAGGCATAAGCTTATGTTTAAAGTACTGGGCTTCGTATGTCTTTCCTTTCTGCACCTTCCATTTGAGCTGTAAGTTGCGAATGAGTATCAGATAGGCAGATTATTCAAATCTCACTTCTGGCACAAGTTAGTTACCACTTTACTTCACTGGAAGTGTAACTTGATCACGTTTCCCTCAATGTCTTGTTTTTTTTTTTTTTTTATGGTGTTTTATCAGTCTGTTTCTCTGTTTTGATGGATGTAAATATAATTAACATCAATAGCGATGAAATAAGAGTTCTAATGTGATTTTTTTAAAATTATTATTTTTGTATTGCAGAATCACCTTATTGTGAAGGTGCCACCCTATCATGACCAGCAAATAACCTCAGCTGTTTCTGTGGGAATATATGTAGTGACCAATGCTGGAAAATCTCACGATGTGCAACCATTTACATACACTCCAGATACATGTATGTTAAATGGGGGAAGGGATGGACAGTTTTAACTGCAAAGCATCTCATTTCTGATTTCATAGTATTCAGTCCATACAATAGAAATGCTATGTAAAGTGGATCTTTTCAAACTCATCTTGCTGGTGGGGTTTGCTCTGTTAAGTAATGAAATCTGAAGGGCTTTCCTCATTTATGTGACAAGTATCTCAAATTTCAGCTGCATGGAGACAGTTGTTCTTATAAAGTAGCATCCATTTCTAGTATAAGCTTCAAAGTGAAGCTGAGCAGGAACAAAGTAGATGTACTACATGCAGTGCACCAGATACCACCAGAAAATAGCACCAGGCTTTATCCTGAGGAGAGCTGAAGTTTGACTGTATTGTGTATTTTTATTTATTCATTTGTCACAGTACGCAGTGCAAAAGTTTGTGTGGGTTTCAAAGAACTTTAATTTCTTTAAGTAACTGTTCTGGTTTGCTTTGGGTTTTTTTGTTTGTGTGCTTGGACATTTTTCAATGTGTTTTTTGTCTCAGCAGCTGGTACTCTGAATGTTAATGTGAAGAAGGAAATCTCCAGCCCAGCCCAACATTGTTCTTTTGAGGAGGCTATAAAAGGTACTAAATTGATTCTTCTTGTTGTTGTTGATAACTTAACTAGAAATTCCTACCCAAATTTGGAGGAATTGATCAGTTGTCCTGTGAAGATAAGTCTGCTTATAAAGTCTGGCCATGTTCTTCCAGTCAGGTTTATCTTCTGATTCTGAATATTCTACTTTATTATAGTATTCCTTTAAGTGTATTTTCATGTGAGCTAATACAGAACAAAAGCTTTGCAAAAAATAATATTAAAAAAAAATTTTGTTTTGCATGCCTCAGGCCCTATAGTCTAATCTTCATTTAGTATGCTGGCAAGTGAAGAAGGAAGAAGAAAGAAGCCTAAAATGGCAGTTAATACAGAGGATTTAGAAACTGTGTAGTGTTAATTTAAGCAAAAACACACATAAAGGTAGTGGTGGGGAAAAACCGAGTGCTGAAAAACACGAATGTGGCAACTTAGTATTTTTCGGCAGCTGTCCAGTGGTTTTAAGATGGCTTTTGGTGAGTCCAAGAATGCTGTCTGATTGTTTCAACTTCTTCCCTTCAGTGGGGTTGTTTTTTTCTGACTATTCTGTCCATGCGAAGTTTGTTGTGTTGTTCCAAGGGAGCAAGTTTTAGGTTTGCCTGTTTTTCAAGTGTGATGTGAATTGATCCTTCCGATATTGAAATAAAGTAGAGGAAGGAAATGTTTCTTAATTGATTGTTAAAACTATGATAGCGTACAAAGGTTAATGGAAATTTCCATAGCTTTCTCTGGTGAAAGCAGGCTGAAAGGTAAGCAAATTCACAATGTGATCCCAAGTTTGATAGGAATCCATAGCTTCAGGTTAAAATCATGAAGCTCGTGTTTGAAGTTAATGGCTTGGTCTTGGCAGGGAATGTATTTACAAGTTGACTTTACAACTTGTTAAGGAGGATAATACAAGATATGATGAGTTTAAACCTGCAGAGAATATTTGGGGGACAGATATGCAAAAATTTAGGGCAGTGAAACAATCTGATAAAAGGACTAGTAAGACTTTGTGTAGCAAGATGAAAAAGATGAGGAAAATAATAGAAATGTACCAGGGCAAGCCTGACATCCATCTAATTTAGTGTGGAAGCCTAGCTAAGGGAAGATACCACCTGCTTCAGGAGTATGTCTGCTCTTCATAACAACACAATGTGCTATTTCTGTAGCTTCATGTCTTCCACTTAATTTACAGAGTAATTTGTAATTTACTTTGTTGTGTGGGTTTTCTGCTAGCCAGCTCTTTTTTGATGGTTCATTCCTGTACCTATTCTACTCTAGGTTGATCGTGAACCAGAGGTCAGAAATTTTGTCTGCTTTAGGTACTTTGTCTCTGCATATGTCCCAGCCTGTCATTCCTCACTGTTCTGAAATGATAAAGTCCAGGTGGGGATCCAGTGGGATGCTGCTTCCTGACTGTTTCCTTTTACTGGGAGCAAAATCCTAGAATTCATAATTTAACTGGCATCATTTCCAGCAACCCTGGCCAAATAGAATGAACCGCTGCTGCCAGGGATGTGTGCAGTTATGTATTGAGCTACAGGGCCTTTCCCTTCCTATCACAGGCAAGTTTAATCTTTGTCCCAGGTATCTGTGACTGTCCCTTAAAATAACTTCTATTACATCTGCATATGTAAAAAAGCGTGGCTTCCCAACGCCATTAGAGATTCTTAGCTCTAGCATTGTAAGAGTCTGCAGATCTGACAGACTTCAATGACAAGTTAGGTTTCAAGACAACAAATTAATAATTCTAAGCTGTTCTGTAAAACTTGAGGAGGATGGGTGTGTATGGACAGCCATGTAGTTCAGGTCTTTGCCTTCTAACATTGAAGTAGTGCTGGAGCATTGTTTTTGAGTGGTTAATGATGATTTCAGTTTCCAGCTTTGGGAGAGAAGGGAAA